TATTACGACAGTTGCGATTCTCAAATGCGCGGAACTAACGACAAAGATTTATTTATTGTAAGAACGTGTGGAAATCCTTGGAGAAGGCCTTTGTCCAGCAGTGGACGTCATTCGGCTGAAGTGAACGAAGAACGACAGCTTGTGTTATAGCAGTGTTAAGAGTGCGCTGCCGCCATAGAAGTAGTGACGTCAGCATCGAACTTGCACTAACAACAACACTCACTCGTGTAGAGTTATCTATTATCTCGTGCAGAGACCTCATAGGAGTCTGCCCCGGCCTCAGGTCAAGCAGCAGCAATACGAGTGCGCCGTCGTCGAAGTAGTGACGTCAGCATTCGAACTATAGTCTGGTCCGTGAGCACGTAGAATTTTGTCCAATGACCCCTAGCTACCCATCCTTATCGCTCGCGCGTAATTATGTTGCTATCGCGCTCGCACACTCACTGCGGGTGTCAGTCGTACAGTCGCGACAGCAATATAATTACGCGCGACGATAAGGATGGGTAGCTAGGGGTCATTGGACAAAATTCTACGTGCTCAAGGACTGGGCTTTAGCACTATACTAAACCCAAAGACTCGTGACAGTAGTCGGTGCCATAAATCACTTTTATAACAGGGATACCCACAAGTTTTTTATACAGTGTCATACAGTTTTTTTATAACAATAAAAAACTTACTCGTGCAGAGCCCTCATGGGAGTCTGCCCCGGCCTCAGGTCGGGCAGCAGCGTCTGCACAGAAGCCGACACAAGCGCGCCGCCGCCGTCGAAGTCCAGTGACGTCAGCGCCACGAAGCGCGACGCGTGCGCGTTCGAACTGGTGCTGAAAGACGACGTAATTTCGAATTATTTTAGGGTAGTTGACATCATTAACCAAAAAATATTAACACAACTTCTGAAACAGACATTTGATTCCAGAAAACTAAGAATTTAATTTGAAAGAATAAAAAAAATTGAACAGTTCAGTCATCATATGTAATGAAAAAACAAGAATAGCTAATTGATATTCATTTCATTTTATGGTGAAACTAGGTACTGCTAAAAACTTTACAGCAGCCACTTTCTCTTGCTTCCTAGCTATAAAACCGCCTGAATACTTAGCGCCGTTTCGATTTGGTATTTCTTATGTGTATATTTTGTTTTTAGGTTATACTAAAATATATTTACTTACCGACAAGACCCAAAGGTGTACAGCACATCGAAGGCAGCGTCGAAACGCTCAGGAGTAAGTTTGGAACTCTGCGCGGGGTACGCGGTAGCCAGGTACCACACGCAGTGGCGCATCGCTGAGCTTTTGCCTGAGCCGGACCTGTAGGAGCAATACAATTCGTTAAACAAATCATGGTAAAACAACTAAATATGATTGTACAACTTGCAGTTAAATTGATTTTCATTTATCCGCCCGAAAGCTGTCTCTGATTCGGCCTTTTTGCAGTAGGTCCTTCTACGAGGAATCAATACGTGTCAGTAATTCTAACCCCTTGGTAAGAAAAATCAGACCTAGCTGAAGTTGCCTGAATTTTGTACCCCTCATGGTAAGATAAATAATTAAATATTATGCTTATGTTACCAGTGGCCCCAGTGGGTTTGCCATAACACAATAGTGGAGCTGCGGCGGGGTTCGAAACCGGGTTCCTCGGATCACGTGACGTCGTTGACCAGTCCGATCAACGACGTCACGTTAAAACACTTGTCTTTTCTGAAAATGTATATTTGTGGGCATAGCCTTCATCTTTTTGCTTGCCTTCCTATAGTTGATGAACTAGTAGAAACTGAACCCACCTCCCAAGGAAGACCACGGCGCGGTCCCACCTAGATGCTAGCATGCAGCGGTGAGCAGACTGCGCTGCAGCGAACACATGGTTGCCACTTAACGAAGAACTAGTAGGAACTAAACCCACCTTCCAAGAAAGACCACGGCGCGGTCTCTCCTAGACGCTAGCATGGAACGGTGAGCAGACTGGACAGCCGCGGAACATGGCTGCCACCTAACGAAGAACTAGAAACTGAACCCACCTTCCAAGGAAGACCACGGCACGGTCCCGCCTAGACGCGAGCATGCAGCGGTGAGCAGACTGCGCTCCAGCGAACACGTGCGACGAAGAACTAGTAGAAACTGAACCCACCTTCCAAGGAAGACCACGGCGCGGTCTCTCCTAGACGCGAGCATGCAACAGTGAGCTGAATGCACAGCAGCGAACACGTGGCTGCCATATAACGAAGAACTAGTAGAAACTGAACCCACCTACCGAGG